CTGGAGCGACCGATATTATTCCATCGTACGAATGAACCGGGGGAGAGGACGAGAAAGTGGAGGTCGATGAGCGCTTTCTTTCTTATTTTCTTTTTTACTTGTTGTAATCGGACGAATCTCGACGTTAATATCTCGGCTCCTTCAAGAAATGAAGAGCGGGAACAAACGAGAGCAACGAGAACAATCGTGGCGCGTCAAAGATGGCATCACTCGATTTTCCACAACCGTTCGGATGCTCGAAGATTACAAAGCTGCCGGTGAAGCTCCCGGGACGAAATGTACGTTTGAAATCTGAGATTTCACTGTCGGGAGTAGCTGGCGGATTACAGAATTGCCGGGCGGACATCATTAAGCAAGTTTTGCTTTGAATTCTTTGTCCAGCAAACGGTCTTGCCGGCCGCTCGAGTCGTCCTCCCGGAATAAAACTTTAGCGGAGGAACGTATATCAAGCTTAAAGGTCGCACTGCGAAAGCGCGTCTGGCTTGTAAAACGCCTGAAACTTCGAGAGCACGCTCAGCGCGCGCTTCGCGAGAGCGTCAGGCTCAAATTCATTTAATTTTGTTGCTCCAGACAGTTTAAACATTGGAGTGCGCGCGATGTCAGGCCGCAACCGTGCTTCACCATTAACGCGCTTCGAAACGCTAAATGCGCTTTCGAAGTTCCAAATGCTTTACACGCTAGACTCGCTCTTCGCGCCCGCCCACTCTCTCCCTCTCCTCTTCCCCTTTCTCTCTTTCTCTTCCCCCTTTCTCTCTCTGTCTTTCTCTCTTTAAGAGCACACGGTGTACAGATTTAAACGTGCTTAACGGCGTCGCGAGTGCCGTTGACAATTTGCTAGTTTCGCATGCAAAGGCTCCGCCGATATCGCGGCGCGTTTGCGCAAAGTATCGCGAAACATTAATAGAACCGGTAAGCTATTTTAAGAGTCTTGGATTGCTCGCGACGCGCGCTCACTCTCGCATGCTCCTATCAAACTTGTCAAAGTGGCGTAAAGCTGGGGGAATCAAAGTAGTGTAATAGCGACGGGGAAAATCAAAATTGAAAATTCTGTACGGATCGAGGTGAGCGATGAGTCCGCGACACTGAGCGGATTTTGCGCAAAAAACACGATAGTCAGCAGGTGGTATGCATTTTTTACGTGACGTTCCTCCCAAGTCGAAATGTTGATCCTACTTTCGACCTCAGTATTCTATTTAACGTCTACTCTGACATTCTGAAGTCTATATCAGCTTTTTATACTTCTATTTAACTTACAGTTTTGCCAAGAGAAGTTCCCTTTAGAACCTACAGGTGGTACTTTGTACGTTTTCTGTCATTTAGCTAAGGACTTCTTTGTATATTAAACATACATTGATCCTTCAGAATGTACAGATGTCAGGGAGTTGAGGTAAAAAATTTCAATATGGGATATAATAACGAAAGCTTTGTCCCGCAATCGACCGACTACGTGGGCGATTTTGCGAAAGCGACGGCGATTTGGCGGTCAAGACGGTCGGCGTATCACCGGCGAATTTCATGACGGACGTGGGTTTTTGCGCGTTTCAGAGGAGGAGTTGGAATGTCTGGCCACCTGGAAGGAGGGCAGCAGCCGTTACCTGGTCGGCCGTCTGCATCACGGCCACTCGTCCAGCAACGAGGATCGATTCCGATGCTTCGTTTACGAGAGGGCCAGCCAGGCGATGCAGGGTAACCTGAACAGAGCCGAGGTAGACGTGGACGCTATAGATCACGACGTCGACCTGCTGGACGGACCGGTGCTCGAGGGCGAGGTATACCGGCTGGCGCAAAGCGGCGACGCGACGTGCAACGGTCTGTTCAGTCCGATGGAGGGCTCGCGCACGATGATGCTGAAGAAGGGTGAGTATCGTCGATCGACGGCCTCCGGCCGTTTAACCTCTTCTCCTCCGACGTTTTCCGACGTTACCCTCGCCCAATTCGGTACATCGCCATTCGCGGACTAGCCATTCTCGCAATTATTTACCGCGGGTCCGAAATAAACATTTAGTCCGCGCAGAGCGCTTTCGTCGGTCGTTGTTTATTGTCGAGAATGAACTTGAATACGATATGAACGCGAGCGCAATTCACCACTGTAAATTATTTTCGCCCAATCCAAAGCAACTAAAAGTAACGCGACAATGTTGACGTTGAACGAGGAAATGATATTTAGGGAAGAAATATTTCATCACTTTGCCAAACAGTTTTGCCTTTATTCGTTTTTAGGCAAAATTACGAGATTAATTATGAAACGTTAAAGACGCAAATTTATAAAAATGTTGTTATTATTATTACAACTAGGTCGAGAGCTCTCAGTTATCGCTGAGTAATCACAGCTAGGCGCTGTACAATAGAAACCTCTATCGCGCGAGCGCGCGCGACAAGACGGACGTTCAACGAGCGGAGAAGTTAGCGACGATCAGGAAAACTGTTAATTGTCATGAGATATCGCGCGGTAATAAATCGTATCAGCGGGTCGTGCCTTCCATCTGCACGATTCATCATCGTTAAAATTTTTCCATTTGTGCCGCTCTCGTAGATTTTAATTATTACAGTATGTGTGTGTGTGTGTATGTGTGTGTGTAAATATGTGCTTGACGAGGATTCCCATCGGGACACGGCGGCGTTTCAATTTATCGTTATTTTCCGGCCGGCTGGATTTTCGAAATTTTTTGCACGAGCGACGCGCGAATCGTCGCTGACGACGACAACGACGAGAACGACGAAGGGCATTGCGTCCCTGACGCCGTTTGCATAACGATCGCGGCCGCGTAACATCTTAAGTGGAATGCATCCGCAACAGCACTCAACAATATTAAATTATAACTTGCAAAATGCCAGTGCTGGAAACGCGCCGCAGTCGCCGCGCGGTTAATGTAAATGTATACTTGAAAGAATTGCTAATCAACGTAGGGGTTTTTCGTTCCATGAATAAGAAGAGCGTGTTTGCGCGACGTCTACGCCACCAGCGGCCCTATCTCTGGTCCCCGGCTCTCTCGCGTGCGCGCATTTCCGTCTTACTCGCTTTTCATCTCGAGTTCGCAATCCCATCTCGCCTCGTTAATGGATTCATATATAATTACCGGGCTTTCACGCTCGCGCATTACGCTTGATAAATATCATCGCAAAGGGGAGAGAGAAAGGATACGAAAATTCTCGGCCAATGCAACAGACCGAGCTAGTTTCCGCGCGCCGTGAAACCGCTCGTTCGTCGATCGTGCCCTCATCCTTCACCTCCTCTCTTCCCCCATTATCACCATCAACACCAGCTCCGTTCGAAGACCGACCGACCGTACGTTTTTCCGTTTGGCGATTTCCACAGAGCGCGGTATTTCCGCCGGAGGATAAATAACGTTGGATTAAACAACATCGTAATACCCGCTATCCCGCATCCCCGAAGTCTTTTGATCTGAAATGTACACAGATATTTCATGGTCGTAAATATCTCATGTTTCCTTAATTTCGCCGTTTCAACCCGGCGGGGTCGATGCGATACTCCGCGTAATGAATTGCGACCGTGATGTTATCGCGATATCCGCAGAAATTATCGAACGAGGACAAAAGCGAGGACCGGCGAAGGGGGAGAGGGGCCGCGGGCGGGAGGGTGATAAACAGGATTCGGACACCAACGCCGCCGCCTCGTATCTGAGGCGCGATCGCGAAAATCAGATACGCATCGCTACACGTCGCCCGCCGCGGGGCACCATCGCGCACAGTCGTCTCTGTCCGACAATGAGAGACTGACTGCGAAAAATAACTCATCTCCAACCCCCTGATTGTGTTACGCAACGGTCGATCTCGCTTGTCTCACCTGGCGCGACACGAAATACGTCGTGTTGTATTATCGAACGAGCTACCAGCAGCCTGGTATTTATGCTAAGTTCGTCAAATTGATGTCAAGAGACGGACATCACTTACTTATGCAAGTATAATTTACGTTAATTACTTATGCAAGTACAATTTGAATCGCAAACGGAGGGGCGAAGGATGCGAGTCGCGTGAGAAACACGCTGATGCCGATCACCTGCGCTCACCTGCACGAATAAAACAGCTGGCACTCGGCTCATTTTTGACACTTGCGTAGATTTTGTTAAACGTAAGATGTATGGGGATTAAAAAATAAATAACAATGGAGAAATAGTTAATATATAGCTTATAGTTTTCCATAAGCGAGTCGAGATTTTGTATGACTCTACTTCTGATATTCCATTTAACGTCTACTTTGATACTCTAAAGCATCTACATCAACCACTTTTGATCCTATTTAACCTACTAACTTTGCCGAGCTCCTCTTTAGAACTTGCAAGTGGCATTTTGTGCGTTTTCTGCCATTTAGAGGCGCTAAGTAGGACTTTAGCTTTCATGTGTATTACACATAGCCGAAATTTGACCCACTTTCGACCTTAATATTCCGTTTAATGTCTATTTTGGTACTCCAAAGTCTACTTTAACCTCTCTTTTTCTACCTAACCTTTTTCTACTATCTTTCCTGAGAAATTCTCTTCAAAATTTACAAGTAGCATTTCATACCATGTAGAAAGCATTTACTACATTTAGAAAGCTAAATAGGACTTCAATTTCCATATATATTAAATATACACTGATTTTTTAGAATATACAGATGTTGAAAAATTTCAGTCGCGCGCGCGAGAGAGAGAGAGAAAGTAGGGTTAAAATTTCGGCTTAAGTACAGCTTAAATCTATGTATATAAATAGAATGTTTGTTTATGTGTCTCCTATATTAATTCCTAAACTTTTTAACCAATTTGGGCCAAATTTTGCATAGTTACTCTAGAATCTTGCGGAAAATATAGGCTACCATGGACATCTCAGATTTAATTCCCTTGGTGGTAATTCAACTGTGGATGTCCTAGATATGAGATGCCCGGGCAACGCCGGGTAGTTTAAGCTAGTATTTGATAAAATTCGCGCAAGAGTGTCGAAAACAGGTCGAGTGTCGGTTATTAAACGTTGTCCCTTATTACACGACAGCTTCTTATTCACCGTAGGTGGTAATTGGCGCATCTCGGTAGTTTTATATCGGGATAACGACGAGCTAGGACACGTCGCATGTGTCGTTAATAACAGTCGACGCGATGGAAAAACAGAGCCGCGATTAAAACTTGAGGGGATGCGCGCGTCACCGGTAATTATTTAACTTTATTAACGCTATCGTTTGAAACAGAATGACGCATAATGACGTGATAATGCGACGTATCGTGCGTCGTAAGTGAGGCGATAAAATCCGATCATCCGAGCACCCGAGATGAGACGATACGAGGCAGTCTCGATTCTTGTCAGTTTTGTCGGGCACGTTCCCTAAACTTTTTAACCAATTTGGGCCAAATTTTGCATAGTTACTCTAGAATCTTGCGGGAAATATAGGCTACCATAGACATCTCAGATTTAATTCCCTTGATGGTAATTCAACTGTGGATGTCCTAGATATGAGATGCCCGGGCAACGCCGGGTAGTTTAAGCTAGTATTTGATAAAATCCGCGCAAGAGTGTCGAAAACAGGTCGAGTGTCGGTTATTAAACGTTGTCCCTTATTACACGACAGCTTCTTATTCACCGTAGGTGGTAATTGGCGCAGAGGTCCAGGGCCCTTATTCTTGAAATAGTTGCGTATATGTAAGTTTTACTGCGCAACTATTTTATGGTATGATTAAACCTGCGCAGTAAAACTTACGTATACACAACTATTTCAAAGAATAAAGGTGCAGAGGCGCGCTCTCGCGGGACGCGCGCTAATCGAACGTGTCAACACGCGTTCTCGGCTGCGCCTCGCGAGTAAGAAGAGAATATTTACACGACTTTTCCGCATTCGTGCTCTTTTTGCCAACCTTGGTCCACTTAGCCACCCACTCATCCATCCATCCATCCATCTATCCATCCATCCACCCGCTCCATCTGACATCTCTGTCTCCCATTCCCGTACCGCCGTCTCTCGAGTTTGCAAACCCGTATCTTGCTCCGCAGTCTCACGACAAACTTCGTTAACGGATTTCACTCCGGTGGATTTTCACGACCTCCCCCACCCCTCCCCGCTCCCTCCTTCACCTCCACCCCAGCAGCCACCCCCGGCGGCAACCAAGCAACCTTCTTCCGCCGACTCTCTGCAGCGCTCTTCGCGCGCCTCTCCAATTGCCACTTTCTTCGGCAAATCGTTTTAAGTCGAGTGGGAGTCACCGACACGCGCATAAAACTTAAGCCGAAGAAAAGAAGAAGAAGAGAACGAAGAAGAAGAAGAAGTAAAGGAGGAAGCGAAAGCAAAGGACGACGAAGAAGAAGCAAAAGAGAAAACGAGCGTCGGAAAGCGGTGGCGGGCAGGGGAGGAGGGATGGGGGAAAGGGAGGCTTAAGAACGTGGAGGCAGAGACAAGCCTTGGGGGATGCAAGCTTCTTCGCCGTCGTTAATATTACGATCCGCGCTTAGGAGAAAAAGCGCGAGGCAAAGGCGAAAGGGGCGGCCGGGCGAAGGGATGCGGAAAAATGGATTAACATTGAACCTTTCCCGCCTCGCCCTCACTCTCTCCCGCCCGCCCACGGCCTTTTCCTTCTGTCCTACTTCGCCCTGTGCGCGACCCCGCCGTCGTTGGTTCCGCATATCGTGCCCTCATCTTCAGATATCCACGCGCGAGCAAGCGAGCCCCTATTAACCGCGCGTCCGCGCTGCTTCGGTCGAGATCCGAAGTTTGTTCAATTAGCTACGGCATCTACTTCGGGCAGAGTAAATATCTAGAGAAAATTGCGCGTTGCCGCGATACTCTCTCTCTCTCTCTCTTTCTTTCCGAGAGAGTCAAGTAGTCGGATGAACGGCTAGAACGACCGACCGACCAACGCGTCGCCAGCAACAAGCACAAATTGCGCCAATTACTCCATCATGAAATTTCGAAAACAACGTAATCTCGGATCGTTCTGCGAACGGCGAGAATAGGGTAGAGATTTCTGTATGAGATTTTTCAAAGTGCTCTTTGTCTCTCTCTCTCTCTCTCTCTCTCTCTCTCTCTCTCTCTCTCTCTCTCTCTCTTGCGCGTGAGGTGTAATCGAAGTTCCGTAACAAGTTAAGAGGGAGTGAAAATATTGACTCGCGTTATTGTTAGCAGTTGTTAGCGATTAACAGTGCGATACACCGTTAAGACCTGCACCGCGCTGCATCGTACAGTGCGCGGTAGTTCCGAGCAAAATTTACGTTAGTCCAATCGGACGGATTTTAGGCGAAAACTTCGGCACAGCCGTGCGATTCAGCCGCCGTTGTTGTTAATTGCCGGGGGGATTAGCTGAACGTGGGAGAAAGAGGAAGGGTGTGCGCGAAGGAGAAATTAAAATCGCGAACGGAGAAATATTCGTAGCGTTCGTGCCGCCGTCCATTTTTTCTACTGTTCTTTCCTTTTTTTTTTTCGTTTTTTCTTTTCTAAATTGGAACGTAGATTGACTGCAAAAAAATACAAAGTACAAATCGTTAAACGGAAACGAAAATGGCACGTCGGGATCAATGTAAATGTTAAAAAAGATAGAGGAACGCCGAAAAGGTCAGGACGCGCGGGACCGAAAGAGGTGTGTTATATCCATTCGGTTTTACGATTATGCAATTTATATTTCGCTCTCTGTTCTATCTCGGATTATCAGGGACAACCGAATTGCTTTAACCCAATTCGGTTACATCCACAAAAGAATACTCGCGAATAATACGAGTGTCGAACGTTTGTCAAATGCGATTGCCGGTATAAACGTAATACTCGCATATGTCGAAGTCGACATAATTCCCAGCACGCGCGCGCTCGCTCGCACTCGCACGCACACATCTATCCAATTATTAATTCCTATATAAATTCATAATCATGACATAACCCATATTCCACCGAATTACCGTCGCTTTATCTGCATTACAATTACTTGTAATTTGCTCAAAATTGCACGTGGCTCGATTCGAAGCAGTTAAACTCGTTCGGCGTTGTGTAAAGCCGGCGCTAACGACACATTTCAATGGCAATTTTGGGAACTTAATTTCCGGAAAAACAGGATTAAATGGCAATCGTGACGCCGGCGCTGCCGCCACTGAACGGTCTTTGTGCGCGGACACGATCGCCGCGGGTCGTGAAATGCGACGAACATCCGCTAACAGCGCGGGTCTTCAGGTTTGCACGCTTTCGTGACTTTTCGCGACGATGTCGTGGCGAAACGCGTGTACGACGGCGCGAATAATGGTGGGCATGCGTTATTATTGCGCGACGCGTGAACTCTTGTTTAAAATACATCATCAAACAGGCGCACACAACGCGCGCGCACGATTATTTACTACGATTAATATGAAAAGGACGACATTGCGCAAACACGTAATTTGTAATCGGCAATATGAATTATTCGACGTAGATTTTGCCGATGAATTTTGCCGAGGAAAGCATGACGCCGGTCGCGGCGACACACGGCGCGATATTACGCTCGTTATATACGTATATATTTCGCTCGTTGTTTTTCCACGCGATCGCCGCGCAATTTGGAAATCCCGTGTCACGTCGCACGCGCGCGCCAGATAAATAGATTATGCAGACGATAGTTGTGTAATATTCGACATGAGAGAAAAACACAGAGTCGCCGATGAAAAATACCAACGAATGGAGCGAAAGACAACAATCGACGCACAGACCCGCGCCGTGATTTGATGCGGTGGCTTTACTCTCTAAACTTCTCGGAGTGAAATCCCACTTGAAGGGCGAAATGAAAAGTTGCTCACTCGAATTAGAGTGAATTTTTACTCGTACAAGGTAAATTCTAAATTTTTATTCGTCGAGTGAATATCTTCATTCAATTGAAAAGTGCATCTGATGTTTTCCATCATCATAGGAACATATTTACTCGAATCGACTGAAACACTCACTTACACGGACTGTCACGTTTCACTTGTTTTGAGTGAGATTCCACTTCAGGAAACTTAGAGAATACTCTCTAAACTTCTTGGGGTAAAATTTTGCTTGAAAAGTGGGGCGAAAAATTATTTACTCGAATTGAGGTGATTTTTCGTTCATGTGAATTCTGCGCTTTGAATCACCGAGTAAACATTTTCATTCAAAATTAAACAATCTGATATATTTCATCATTGCAGAAACATATTCACTTTAACCAACTGAAAAATCCACTTATATGAAGGTAAAATCCAACCTAAGCTCGAGTGAAACATTCATTCTTGCAATCTCAAGCGGCAGTATTTTCACTATCGTTGTGAGTGAAAATACTGTCACTTTTCATTCGTTTTGAGTGAGATTTTACTTCAGGAAATTTAGAGACCCTCTAAACTTCTTGGAGTTAAATTTTATTTGAAAAATGGAATAAAAAATTATTCACTTGAATTGGAATGATTTTTCGTTCGTATGAAATGAATTCTCCGCTTTGTGGAATCGCGGAGTGAATGTTTTCACTCAAAATCGAAGAGTCCATCTGACGTATTCTATCATCACAGGAACATATTCGCTTTAATCGACTGAAAAATTCGCTCGTATGAAGGCGGAATCCATCCTAAGCTTGAACGAAACATTCACTCTTGCAATCTCGAACGGTACTATTTTCATTACCGCCGCGAATGAAAATACTGCCACTCTTCACTCGTTTTGAGTGAGATATCACACCAAGAAATTCAGAGAGCATCCGTGCTGTTATCCGCCTGACTGTATTCCTGACAAATCGCGAGGAAGCTCGCAACGCGAAATAACACGGCGCGCTGTGGTGGCGGTCGTGAGAGGCCAGAGTGGACGCGAAGACTCCATTTGATTTTTACGATCGCGGGATTTGTATCTCGGTCGCGAACTTATCGTCAGGCGGATGGCGGGCTGGCAGTCCGGCCGGTCACTGAATTATTTCCATTCTTTGGCACGCGGCGTGCAACAATGCCTTTATGTGCCATAAAACCGGTGCGCCGAACGCGCGCTCCGTTAACTCCCTCCTGCCGTCCGACCTTCCACCCCGGCTACCTCGAGCCCTCCGCAGTGGAGGTCCACTCGACGTGGACCGAAGAGTGGCCCCCCTCCCGACACTCCGATTTTACACCCCGCGGCCGGAAGTGGAACGCTGCCACCACGATGGTGGGCTTTGGTCGATGCGGCAACGCTACCGCGAGATGCGACAGGCGAGGTGGACGCGATGCGGAAAAGGGTGGGCCGGGCGAGGAGGATGAGGAGCGGGGCGGCAGGGGGTGAGTGGAAAGGGTCGGAAAAGGGAGAGACTCGGTGGACCGCGAGATACCGCGCGTCGATTCCGTTTCGCTATCGAGTAGCGGACGTCAACGGTTTATCGACCGTCACATACCCGCGACACACGGAGGACTTTACGATCCTGGTGGCGGGCAGGCGGAGGCTGCGGGATTTTTGGCGCAGGCCGTGCCCGGTGACGCCGATAGAATCGGCAGTCGTGTATAGACCTCGCCAATCTTGCGCCGCGTCACGTCGCGTCGCGTCGCCGACGCGCTCCTATACACGTGGTGGACGCTTAACGGTCACCCGGAGGATCGTCGTCCGTTTTACGAGGATGAAGCGCGCGAGGAGAGAGCGGAGAAGCGCTTTTCGATCCGACGCGCCACGGCAGGATTGGCCCGGTTAACGAGGGAACGAGTCACATCTCGCGACTCTGAGCGAATTTTGACGAATAGCCGCGGCTGGTACACATTCGATAAGCCCGCGGAGGAAATCTCTCGCTCCAACGCGACTCTGTTTATTTATTTATTTTTTTAACAACCAGTTCGCGCGCGCTTTTTAATCCGAGACTCAATTCACCGGGGCTGAGCGTTTCCAGCGCGACTCCCCGCGGTTTTTCATCTTTCGACGAGATCGCAAGCGTCGCGATGATCACCGGAAACGTTCTCTACTGATTTCAGCCACTTCGCCGGGTGAGTGCCGATTCCCCAACTGGCTGACCGGACACTCCAGTGGCGGGCTGACCTGGCACACTCTGGATTTGGCGAGGTCCTACACGTTTCATACGCGCAACGCGTCCCTGCACATCACGAGATTGAACGCGACTTCGTCGAGGCTCGAGAGTCCCATGGACATTGCCGGGCAAGAGGATCAGGACGTGAAGATCCTGTGCAACATCATAAAGCAGTCGAACGGCGCGCAGACCATGACGATGGCGATGCTCGTGGTACACTTCACCGTCGGCTGGTAAGCTGTTCGCCGTTCCGCTTCCGCGTGTTCCGTCGCGATACTCCGGGACGATTGTGCGAAATTAATAGCGACGGGCAAGCGAGAGAAGTCATCTTCAGCGCACTGCGAGATTTTCGAGGGAGAGAAGCCGGAGATAATGGAATTACTTTGGATTCACTTCGGGTTTATCGTTCGCGCACGCCGCGATGCTTTGTAATGTGAGCGCATTGCCTATTTGTTTCGACACGTACACACGCGCGTGAGGCGCGCACACGCACACCCACGCACACACAGAGAGCGAACGCGATTAAAGCGATGAGATATGTCTGACGAGACATCGCTTTCATGGATTCTCTCTCGTCCTTCTTTTTCCAGTCGGAGCGGTTTTATGTGCATGACATTCTACCGAAGAGACGGCCACGTGATCGAGGTGCAAACGGGAAATGCGGTATCTAAACCGGAAGAAGCATGCAGCCCGCGCTATTTTCAGCAGCGCAGTATACCCTTCCTCACCCTAGTCAGTGAGTACAATCCTCTCTCATTCTCCGCAACTTGTGCTTTTCTATTTTCGCCAAGTGTCTCGTCGACAAAGTTCGCTGTTGCTTGCCTCATGTTATTGAAATGCGCGAGGCATCTTTTTTCGTTTCAGCGTGCGAGGTAGTATCGTCGACTCTTTGCGATCTCGCGTCGAAGTGGCGTCGTCGACGCGAAGCTTCGCCGGAGTCCTGAATTGTCTCATTTTTCTTTTTTTTTTTTTTTTACTTTTTCCCTCTCTATGGTCGCGGAAGCTAGACTACGGCTATTTTTGCAATTTGTAAAAAGTGCGCAATCCGAGTATTCGCGGATGAAACCAAATGTGACGCCAACGCGCCACTCCCGGCGTTAAATAAATTGCTGAAAATATAAGCGGACCGAACGGTACGATAGGAATTTCGCGAGGAACGAGGCAAAAGTTAGCGCATTGTCCGAGAATCGATCACACCTCGCGCGCGCTGTTTTTGAAAAATTCACTGAAACTAGACTTGAGATTCTACAGTCGCGCGTTCAGCGCTTCGAATACGATAAAGTAACGCGACAGGTCATATCTCGAGATGGTAATCGGTATGGAAAAGGGTTTCCGCGAGACGCTACGGGATGATATCGCGAAGCTCTATCTTACCGTGCCGTCGTTTAACGCTAAATGCGAGGCGCACGAGTACAAGTCTATGTTATCACGCCGAGATAGGATATTAACGGAGCAATTGCTAAGCTAATCTAGAATATACCTCGATAAACTTATCGCTCTAAGAGAGAGAGAGAGAGAGAGAGAGAGAGAGAGAGAGAGAGAGAGAGAGAGAGAGAGTCCGTTTCGCGATATCGTATCGACCACGCT